CAAAAAACATTTAAAGAGAAAGTAAAGACTAGCAAAGAGTCTCATCAAAATCCCTACAAAAAGGACACTTAAAGACTATCAAAAAGTCTCATCAAAATCCCTACAAAAAGGACACTTAAAGACCTGCTTAAAGATTGAGTACAATTGAATGGTTCTTATACAATTGTATCTTTGCAAAATGCTGCTCTCGTAAAACACCTACAAAAAGATAATATATAAGCAAGTTAGAAAACCACAAAAAATTATACACCTACGGGTTTTCAATAATATCATCATGATGAAGCTTCTTATATCTCGAAGGCTGTAATTAATAAAATTCTCAAAACACTTCAAATGAAATCAACTAAATCAATGACATAAATCGCTCAATTTTCTTTGAATATAGATGCAGAACACTGTTATAAAGAAGCTAGTCTGCTAGACTAATTCCACTAAAAGAAAAACAAATCTACAAACGATTCAGTACTTTACCATTAATAGTATTATAGAGCCTCTTCACTAGCAATCTCAATTGCTTCAATTCCATGAAACAATATGCAGAAAAATTTCCTGACAATCAATAGACATACCCAGACATTTCCCTTTTGAGAGCAAGACATGAACTCAGAAAAAGATGAAAATGGCCATTGTGTGAAAAAACCTAAATAAATGAAACAAAAATTGAACTCATTAAAATGGAATCGATTCAATCATATTTAAGCTTATGGAACATCAATCAACAAAAGCCTTTATCTTTCTAGTCTCTTGAGTTATAAATAAAATAGTATAAAATGATATCTTGTGGTATAGGATTAAATAAATATCATATTCAAGTATATAACCAATAGTTCACAAACACTTACTTCCTTGTGACTGGATATATAGACTGTGAAGTGTGAACTATCAATTCCATCAAATGACTGATCTATAAAACAATATCTTAACAAACTGAGATTAAACAATAAATATGGCATAGAATTATGAACTAATCTGAATTTTTCAAACATTAATAAAAAAGTGAAAGAAAAAAACCAGATAATAAACTAACGTCAACCTGTGCTAGTACTCATGTGTCTATCCAAAGCTCTTCTTTTGGTCAAAGAAGATGTCTCACACCTGATCGACAAGCCACAACTATTGAAGGAAAATAATTATGTTAGAATTCAGATCAAGAAAAAACAAAAACCAAAACTTGTCCTAATTGATGAATTGCATATGGACATTCAGATTTGCTAAAGATATTTTTATTGCTAAATTATTCTTTGACTCTATTTCACCCCAAATAGATACAAAAGTCAAATAACTCAACTGACTTTTTTGAATTGTCAAATAATTCCTTGGATCTAATATTTTATAACTCAATTGGTTTTTTGAATTGTCAAATAATCAAAGCTCCACCATGACATCGAAAAAGAAATATTGAAATAACAACAATATAAAGCAATAGGCTAGTAGATATACCTGAAAGATAAATTTGTACTCATAATCTACAAGTATAATATATAGGCACAAAATCTAAATGTATGAAACACATTACCAAAGAATAAGAAAGCTTACACTTCTGACTGTATTTTGAACAACACCAACACGATGGAAAGTGCTTTGTGACTCCAAAGCTCTAACTTGAAGTTTCAGATCACTTTGTTCATGTGATGTTACAATAAAAGATCTAAATGGACAAGGCAATCATGAAGTTAAACAAGATAATTGATAATGAGTGGTTGCAACTAAGAACTCAAATAATCCTTCGTAGCTACCAATAGTTGTATCAGTCCTATCAGTCTGCCTAAATAAGTTGGAAAATGCACGTAATTGGCTGTCCCATTTCATCCTCAATTACTGGAAGATAGTATATACGTCCAAGCAGAATATTAGTACTCCCTCCCTGAATAACATTCATAATTTCTCTGAAAACCCACATATCACTAGGAAAAACTTGGACATTAAATGGAAATACGACTTTACCTTTGAAGAACAAAAAGATGTAAGCTTAAGTGTGCTTTGCTTTTATATCAAGTTCAACTCCAGCTTCACAAAACTTGAGCAATTGTAGTGCATACCTATAAAAAAACCCAAGTAAGCATAATATTGGTCTTCCCAGCCAATGTTTTACTACATACTTTACTTTTCCCTTCTTATTTTCTTTGAAAATGCACCCAAGGAATCTAGAGTGGGTTAAGACTTCAAAGTGAAATATTAAGGTAAATTAGAGATGCTAAGTTTAATAAAAATTATCAGATCCGAGATGCGTAGTAAAATATTAGGGTAACAGGGAGTGCAGAGACCAATTTTTTGTAAGGGAGACTAGTTCCATCATCAGAGAAAGTCCATTATATGACATTGACAGCTAAAGTAGTATTTACGGCTTAACAATTACAGATATATCAAACAGTGGATGGAGATTGAGCATACCTAACGCTGAATTGAAGATTAAGCATCGAATCGTGGTCTTTATGGCCGTTTGATTTTGTCTGGCCCTTATGCCCTGCGTCCAGAGATTATTCATATCCTCGTCTGTCACTGCCAATCCACAATTCTCATCCTCCTTTGGCGAACTCAGTAACGTAGCATCAAATCCTTTGTCTTTAAAATTAAACTTGCAGATGTCATTTTTTAGAACTTCCCGGAATTTGCCGAGTCCGTGAATAACTTTAAAACTGCCAGCCAAGCTTTTCCGATAGACAACGAGAACTGTGTGCAGCAGCTCGATGACCTTGTTGCCAAGGGCCAGATTGATTCTCTTTGAGAAAACGTGTACTGATCGAAGAATGGAGTTGAGCAGTGAACTCTAGGGTTAAACAATAAGGAGTTGGTTGTGTTTGGGCAAATGATACGGAGAATACAATAGAGGGGAGATCGAGGCCGAGTAATAATTAGAGTAAATTCCGGAAAAGATAGTTATTGGAAAATAAATATGACGTCTGTTTTTAGAGACACCGTCGTAAAACGATTTTTTAAATATGACGTCGCTAAAAATATATTATTTTTTATCTATTTATTCTCTGTTTTCTAAATAAAGTGGATGGTACTTGGTCTCTTATAAGTTATAACTTATGAAAACAGTATGTTTTAATTGAGTTGTGCTCCTCTCCGGTAACTGAACTTAGAGACAAATGGGAGAATGGTGGGGTAGAGGAAAATAAAAAATGAGATTTAATTATTATTTTTAAGAAGAGAGATAGAGTGACAGATATCGAGCCAATCAACTCTCGTTTCGTCCCGCACCATGTCCACCCTTAACTTAAATATGGCTTTTTCATAATTAACACATATTCAGTCATTTCAATCCTAACATCACCTATTAAATTGAAATAGATTAACTCATCGATAATTTTAGTGCTTCCAAATTTGATGTCCTTGCTCTAAAAGTCATGTCCTCGCCTCCTCTGATTCAATTAGGTCATATCATGCTAAATCTTTAAGTAACTTTTTTCTCGACTAAGCTTTGACAAAGAATGAAAGAGGTGTGAATGTACACACCTATGGGCTATGGCTTGAGCTTTGGCGAGACCAAGACTTTTCACCGCATGTAGATTGTTCCCCATTTAGAAATCGCTTCTATTCCTCAAAAAGTCAGACTAGAGACGTGAATATCCCCTAATAAGGCAAAACGAAGTCTTAGCTTGATGATATATGGGGTATATATTCCTCAACAACTTCAAAATTCAATGATTTTGAACAAGAAATAATTTTGCGTGAGATTAAACATCCCATACGGTTTATTATTATCAAAATACAAACTAACATACTAGCTCCGTCTAGGGGTTGACTCGGTCGTCCCAATCCAGTCCCGGACCGGCCAATTGGTTGGAGAAGCCCGGGTTCGACCCGATTATAGTATATTTTAGTGAGGAATAAACCTCGATAGGTTGTTATTTACAAATGCATTGCTTGAATGATGTGAAAAGAGTGAACTTAATAATTGCACTATTTTATTCAACATTAGGAAGTGATATGTCAATATCTATATTTTATGATATCATTTATTTTAATTAGGTGTATTAGGATATCATTTATTTAAATATTTTTTATTAAAAAGAAAATTGTGATCTTGATCACATAAAAGCCAACGTTAGTGTGGTATTACTGAAACATGATGTTCTCGCAACACAACGACAAATCCATAGTATTGGTGATTCAACACACGATTGTGACTAGTGAGGAACAATGTTGATAGAGTATATGAACTTAGAACCCCGAGTGATTCTGCACACAATTGTGGCTATGAAACATATATATAAGATAGAAGAACGGGTGACTCGGCGCATATGTTAATCAAAGAAGCATAAATTCAAAAATTTACAAGGATGCATCGACCGCACCATGACATCATAGGCAAGTACAGTTTCCACATTAATCAGGAAGTACATACACATGGCCCCTCGAGCCCAATATCGTCTGTGTTGATCTCTGGTTTGCGACTTTCGATCAAGGATTCTCCCACAGGATTGCCTAATTCAAGGCTTGCCAATGAGATCGGATTAGCAGTTTGAGAATTTTTGTGAGGCGTCTCGACAATGACAGAACGGGCTAGTTCCTTCAACATGACGACAAATCAACATATAGAGAATCAACACATAGTCTACTCCCTCTAGTCTCGAGTATTCTTGCGTCAAATCGAAAATTTGCTATGCGTCTCTCACATGATACTACTCTATTTAGGGAGGGGTTGAAGAAACAATCTAAAAGTCGAACAAAAGTTTAAAAATGAAAAGAAAGATCAGTTGGACATAAATGACACGGATTATCATGCATCCAAAAATAAACCATACGAGTAATTACCAATTTGTTTTTTGAAAAATGTCAAAAATCCAGAATTATGAAGGGGTTGTTAATGGTCGTATGCAATGACGTTAATCCAACCCGATTGCGTGGGGAATAAAAAAAACGGCTTTGTAGTTTGTACGCGCAGAAAATATCATTTAACTAAAGCTTACCGAAATGACGAAACAGACCCCTTTTGATTCCCATATACTCGCAATACATATCTTCGGTCGTCAAATACATTGAACCTGGACACACCAAATCCGGGTTTATAAAACAGCTTCTTCCTCATTCAGACTTTCACAGTTGAACCAATTTCATCCCGTTGTCACCGAATTCCACACACACATCGTCTCCATTTTTCTGTCCAGAATTAAAGTCAATCTAATACTCAATTGATGGCTCCGACTCTAGCGTTGCACTGCCGTGAATCGACGCCGGAGGTGACGGAGGAGCTGCGAAAGAGATACGAGGAGATGGAGAGGGAGTTGAAGAGCAGCAGGGAAAGAGAGGAGAAGATGAGGAGAGAGTTAGAGAGGACGTGGCAGAGGTTGAGGGTGGCGGAGGAGGCGGAGGAGCGGCTGAGCTCTCAGCTCGGAGAGCTTGAAGCGGAGGCGGTGGGCCAGGCTCGAGCGTACAGGGCGCGTGTTATGGCGTTGATGGATCAGCTTTCTGCTGCCACCAAGCTAATCCCTCCCGCGCCTTCTGTTCCCCTTAATTGTTAGGATGTGATTAATTATTTGATTTCTGATCTGATTAATGCAAGTGAGAGTAATGGTAGTTGCATAATCTGTAATCTTGTAGTGTAATAAAAATACAAAGTTTATATGTATGTTCAGTAATCTGCTAGATCTCTTATTTCATCTCGTCCAAACAAGTTTGAACATACATTCCATGCTTATTAGTGGAGAGGCGAAATTCCACTTATCGTCCTTCGAGTTTTACACCAATTCCACAATTCGTCCTCGTCTTTCATTTTATCCATTTTTGGTATCTGATTATTGTTTTCTTGACCATATATAGTCCTTTTCCGATAGTAAAAATGCTCAGAAATGGACCACAAATGGTCAAGAAAACAATAGTCAGGTATCAAAAGTGGATAAAGTGAAAGACGAGGACTAAATATGGAAACGACACAAAACTCGAAGGACCTAAAGTGGAATTAATTCTTATTGGAGATCTGAACACGATGGTTATGAAACTTTTTAAGATAAAAATCTAGCTTCAAATTTTTTATTGAATCATATATGATTCATTGTGATCATAAAACGAGCGGCAACGATTATTTAGTTGGGATTATTATCACAAAATAATCGTGTGCCGGTCTCATAAATTCATAATAAACGATATGACTATAGGATAAAGTATTGAAGCCCGTTTTTTATTCTCCTTTTAGCTTTAACTTTTTAATCAAATAATCATTTTTTGTGCGTTGATTGTGTAACAATGTAATGTTATTATTTAATTGAATGTGTTAAAAAGCATTTTATTTTTTTTCTATATTTTTTTTCTTTATTCTGTATATAATGTACTTCATCCGTCACTTATAACTATTTCATGTTCGACTAGTATGTAAAATAATAATAAAAAACAATATGTTCTACTAGATTTGTACAAAAGAGAGAAATATTAAGAATCACAAGTTTGTTATTTCAAATTGGAAATGTAAAGTTTTATTAAACGATAAAAAAGGAAAGTGATAAAGTTGTAAGAGGAGTATAAATTAGAAATTATCTTTCCAACGAGATATAATATACTCAAAACGGAAAAACACACAACAAGATATTAGTGTCACAAATACTTAGCTTTATCTCTATGATTTACAATGTACCTTAGAAAGCTAACGATATGTCCCTCAAGATAAAGTTGTAAGAAATCAAAATCGAGAACACCTGAGTTATGATGCAATTCTCAACTCCATTAAAATCCTCCAGAATCCGAATGAGGGACACCCCTAGTGTTTTAGTCAAGAGTGCTGCTTGGTGTCCAATTTTTGTACACTTATCACTATACAGTATACACAGATAAATATGTTGAAATATTGGACAAATTGTCTTTAGTGATATACATGACTAATCATCATCATCATCATCATAATCATAATAAGAATGCAGTAATGTCCCACATATTTCCATAAATACCGACACATGCATCAGTAAAAAAAAGTGCTTGTTAATGGAAAGCAATCCTCATTGGCACAGAGAATATTCTGACACCCGCAAACACTTTCACAGCCAAAAGGACCGTCAGGCCACCACCGCTTCCCTCGTGGGGTATGTATTATTTACCTCTAACTGCGTGGTCCATTCTTAGTTCTAGGACTTCTAGGGGTGCCCTGATAGAAATTGACAGCTAAATGGAAGTGGGCGTTAATTAATGGGCAATTTACCAAAAGACGGGAAAAGAAGGAGTCGGAACACCCAGTTCCGACTAGAGGTAGGGGTTCCAAAAAAAAGCTCCACTCCTGTCGGATTAGCCACTTCCGATCGACTAGGAGTTTTTTTTTGCCGAATTCTTAAGTTTTTATTTTCAAAGTTTTAAAAACTGAAAGTTTTAAATTCTATCCAGTTTTTTTAGATTCCTGGCACATTTTTTAAAATGAAAACTTAGCATTTTGATTTTTTGAGTGACAAAACATTTGATTGCTTCATATTATTTTTTAATCCATTTGTATTGTGAATTTTGTTTTGATTGCATTTTTTGTAATTTTAAGTGCAATTTTGATTTAATCCATTCGTCAAATGAGATACAAATTTGATTTTGTTTTAAGTGCAATTTTTTTAATTTTAATGGAAGTGAACAGTACATACATTGTGCCATTCTTTGGATTTTTCTTTAACCTTATGATTTTTCTTTGATTCATAAGTAGATTTGACTCTTTTGCTAATTAGAAAAGAGTGTTTAGGAAAATTAAGGAGAGAAACATTGACTTGTTCTTTTTATACACATGTTCTAGTAATGATATATTCACATTTATTTATTAATGTATGTCATTATGTATTTATTTAAACAAAACTATTTTTAATGTCTATTTATCTTTCTCTTTGGGTGCAAATTATTTAAACAAAACTATTATGTATCTTTGTCATTTGCACAATTAATCATAGTTCATTTAGTTTTGATTTTTTTATTGTTAAGATATTTCATTTTTTCTTTAATTTAAGTTAGTTCAAATGCAGGTTGCAATAAGTTTATTATGCTAAGAGAAAATCACCAAATCTATAGTATAAGATATCATTCAATCAAACAAATTAATATTTCCTTAATCTTAACCAAACACAAATGAGATACAATTGAATACATTTCCATGAATCTAACATACTTAGCAATCTGACGTTCCCAAAGTAATCTACATTTCCTCTAGTCATAAACTCCAACTGTGTTTGAAGTATCTTTTCATCTCCATAAACTTTTACTATAAAATAATCCATTATTTAACATAAGGGTAAAAAATGAAATGCTACTCCCTCCGTCTCATTAGACATTGTCCACTTTCTATTTTTGTTTATCGCAAAAACTTTGCCACTTTGCTTTCAAGGTAATGTATTTGTGGTCATCATTATTGTTAGTAGACTTCCCTTCCAAAGAGTCCTTTTTGAGCAAAAGAAGCTAAGTTTCTAGTGTCGAGTTAAATTTAGTTAAACCAACAAACAAATAGATAGTATAAAAACATAACTTGAATTGGTGATATTCAATACTCACACCTGAGCATAATTAAAAAATTGCACATTGGTGAAACAAAACTTTCGTTTTTGGTGGGTATAATTAGGAGCATGCATGCATTATTTTGAGTTTAATTAATTGTTGTGATTTTATTTCATTCTTTAATTGGTTGGTATGGGGGTGGTGAGTTTTGGAGCTATTATGTTATGGACGGAGAGGGAAAAGCACATGATGCGGGATTGGTGAAGCTTGATAACATTTAGAGCTTGTTTTGTTTGTTGATTGGAGAAGGCCATGATTGATTTTTATTCAAACTAATTTATCATATTTGTTAGTTGTAGACTAGAATTAATTTTATGATTGATTAGATCTATGTAGTTTTTTTTCGCTTTATTCTGAATCATCCAAATGTTGAAATAATTTTGAAAAATATTGATCCTCCCCTCTGAAGCTCCGAACCAGACAAGCTGTTGGGAAATACGCTTGTTTGGTTTGTTGACTGAAACACGCTTTATTTTGTTCTCACAGAGCAGCATACTCCTTCTATAGAATATTAATTAAAAACTATGGAAAAGTTATGAAGTGGTATATTTTGGTAAAGTTTAAGGGGTGTCCCCGATTATAACTTTGATGAATTTTAAAAGATCATGCATTTTGAAATTCGAAGGGAGTCTACAAGATTGTGGTGAATTGTTTTCGTATATATAAATCTATCGAAATCCATAAGTAACGACAGAAATCCACGGAATGTTTGAAAACACCCTTATTTTCATGGATTCCACAGAAATCCAAATCGGAAACACCTGAATTCTGACGGAATTCTAAACTCCATTAAAAATCCTCCAAAATCCGAACCGGGGACACCCCCTTAGTGCTTGGTGTCCAATTTTTGTACACTTATTTCTATAGAGTATACACAGATAAATTTGTTGAGATATTGGACAAATTATCTTTAGTGATATACATGACTAATCATCATCATCATAATCATAATAAGAATCAGTAATGTCCCACATATTTCCATAAATACCGACACATGCATCAGTAAAAAAGAAGTGTTTGTTAATGGAACGCAGTCCTCATTGGCATAGAGAATATTCCGACACCAGCAAACACTTTCACGGCCAAAAGGACTGTCAGGCCACCACCACTTCCCTCATGGGGTATGTACTATTTACCTCTAACTGCGTGGTCCATTCTTAGTTCTAGGACTTCTAGCGGTGCCCTGATGGAAATTGACTGCTAAATGGAAGTGGGCGTTAATTAATGGGCGATTTACCAAAAGACGGGAAAAGAAGGAGTCGGAACACCCAGTTCCGACTAGAGGTAGGGTTCCAAAAAAACATCCCCTCCTGTCGGATTAGCCACTTCCGACTAGGAGTTTTTTTTTGCCGAATTCTTAAGTTTTTATTTTCAATGTTTTAAAAACTAAAAGTTTTAAATTCTATCCAGTTTTTTTAGATTCCTGGCATATTTTTTAAAAAACTTAGCATTTTGATTTTTTGATTTTGATCTTTTGATTGCTTTATATTATTTTTTAATCCATTTGTATTGTGAATTTTGTTTTAGTTGCATTTTTTTTTAATTTTAATTGCAATTTTGATTTAATCCATTCGTCAAATGAGATACAAATTTGATTTTGTTTTAAGTGCAATTTTTTTAATTTTAATGGAAGTGAACAAAACAAATGTAGTTTTCAATGTAATTTATTAATGAATATACAATACATATAATATTAAATTTAATACTACATCTAACGTTGCGTGCTCGGCCCTGCTCCGTCCCCACCGCCAGTGTTCCAAGGCCCCGTCGTGTCTCCATAGTAAAACGACGAATTCAGAATTGACTCAACATAATCACCCGCTTGTGTGGAGTACTAATAAGAATCATAATACGGCGGTGCTCGATCAAATGAGACACCTTGATGCGTTGAGAATTGAGGGGGTGGTTGATCAAATGAGACACCTTGTGTTGAGAATTGACGGGGTGATTGTGAGTGTTCACCTCCACCTTCATGTTCATCTGCATTATCCACTTCGTCACTTCCACCTTCATCTTCATCTTCATAATGAAATATGCCCCAATGGAGCATCTCTTCATCACCTACGTTTAGGGCCATCCGCCGTAGTCGTTTTTGATAGTCCTCATAACTCGCGCGGTTGGATAAGAGCTTATACACATCGTGAACATCTTGCTTCTGCATAAAAATGTAACACGTGTAAACAATATGACACGATATATGTTACCACAATACCCCAATCGTGTGTTGTCGGGGTGTAGAC